TACTTTTTGCCTTTTTGTATATCCAATATACGTAAAAACAGCTAAACCCAACACATGATCCCAGGGAAGACTTACAGATGTTTAGAATTAAAAATATGCCTTATCAAATTTCGATTTTTAAAATCCACTAAAAAAATCGACAAATCCTTAACAAAATTTGTGATTGTAAAATATAAGACATCTTCAACAATCAACTGTCATTTATCTTTAAAAAACTCTAATAGAACTTGGTTTGGCACAAAAATTAATGATTCACTTAATCCTCCGATATTCGCCTATATTCTGTCCCTCTGGAATCAGGAAACGCAAACCTATAAGATGGGAAACGTTTTTGTGAACGAAGAAAATTTTTGAGAACAAATAAAATTGTTCGTGAACGATGGTGTTGTTCAGAATAAAAACTAACGATGACCAAACAATTTGGATTGTTCAGAGAAAGAAAGAACTATCGTTTTATAAATAACGAAAGAAAAAACTAACTATCTTAAACCAACGATTTTTTCTAACAAACTTTTGAACAATATTATATTATTAAACAAACGATTTTTTAACGAACAATTTTACATAACGATTGTTTTGCAGTGGGAAAACGAACGAAATAGATGGAAAATGAAAGATAATTTTGAGAACGAGCGAAATCAAATTTCTTTTAAATGATTAAAAAAACCTACAAAATGAACTATGAATGAACGAAATAAAAAAAAAGCCGAAAGCGCCCATCTCCAGGCAAGCCCTGGCTCCAATGGCAGCTATGTCATGGCCAAATAACACTTTTAGACAAATCAAAGGTTTATACACTATCAGGTTGCAAAAAAAAAATTGAATTTGAGGCATTTGTGATTTGTGAACTTTTGAAGTTCCTTTGAAAATCAGGCATTGACTTTGAATTGACTTAAGAATCTAATGTGTGCCTGTTAATAAAATACACTTTAAAGATATATATGTATACACCTAGCTTCAGAACCAAGCGTTGCCCAGATACTCAGAGTTACTTTTGCTGCTAAGTACAATTTTAGCTATTTTTCCATATGAAAGTGAACCTATACTCAACTTAAAATCTAAAAACCAACCTAAGAACGTTCCCGAGGGTCTCCCGAGTTCCACAATCCAAAATTTTAGACTAATCACCCTGAACTAACCAGAGAGAGAAGCATTCGGTTTCTTTTATTTGAAATAAAACGTGCTTTCGTCTATAACTCAACAGTCTTTAAACTTACAGATTTGTTTATTTTATACTTTTTCATCAAAATGTATATGCCAGCAAAAAAATATTTAAGATCAAAGGCTATAAAATTATGTTAAAGGGGTCAAATTGTGATCGAAAGTCACAAGTTTTCTGAAATATTGACCGAACCGTTAAATCTACGTGTAATCGGTCAAGGGGGTTCCTCAGTTATGACCAAACATCCAAACAAACCAACAAACAGAGATTACAACTTTATACGTGCATATTTATAGATTATAGATACTCTAATATCAGTAATAAAGGGTAACGACAGGGTTACACATTACACAATGCATATTATTATTTTTTATTCCTGATTGATTATATGATGCTTTCAAACTTTAAAGCCTTTGTGTCATGTGTCAGTACTAACCCTAAGTTGCCCCAAAGCAGCAGTAAAATCATGTTTAATGCTTGGTCTTTCCTTGATCACTGAGGGTTGAAAGGCCTAGGAACTAGACAAATAAACCAAATTTTTGCAGTTTTTAACCCTTACCGGTTGGGTAGGGGGGGGGGGGCTTACAATGAAACAAGCGCGCTCAAACTTATTCTCTCTTTATTGTTTATACAGAGTGTCCCAATAAACATGGGAATTAAGAGACGAATAGCAGTCGGTCAGAATACAGATCTAAAATTTAAGTATTAAAAAGCCCTTGAAAAAAATATATGCAAATATGTCAAAATAAAAAGAACTATTTTTTATCGGAACTTTTGGATCGTTAATCTTGAATATGGCACTTTCTCAGGGTAAAACCACAAAGAATAGCAAATTTATCAGAATTTAAGACTTTTAAACCTGAAAAACTACAATATCTTTTACATTATTGATCAGATAAAGGTTTCCAGGTTACTGTTGGTAATTTGGCTTTGCCATCTCTGCATGGAGTGTCACTTGAAACACAGTTCCGTTAATAATTTTTCTACATAATTCCACTCCGTGAAGTTTAATGAATTATTAATGAACCTTTAAAAACAGAAAATTCTAGAAAAAATCACTTTCTGCAGTTCAACATAATCAAACATCATAAATCATGCAACTTCCCCAATGCATGTCAGAAGTTAATCAATTATTTAAATCTTTGTTTGCTTAATAAAATAGAGCTATAAAAACTATAGAATAAAAACTATGACTAAAAATTACATAGACTCTAGGACAAGGGCAGAAGTCCTCAATGAGTATAATCACCACCACCCAAACGTGTTTTGATTAATTTTTATTTCTCAACATGTTCCTACATGACATCTGTAGTTTATTGTAGAACTTTTTTGCATTTTATGTCGTCGTTATTTTATAATACAATACATATATCATTTAATGTTACACTAAACATGTAACTTTGTGGGTGGGCTACGCAGCTGTTATATCTCAGTGGACCCTAGATATTTTTAGGAAATTTCTAAAACCTCTGCATAGCAATGATCATTCTATAAAAATAATTTGTACTTTAGAAAAAGTTTGAAAAGAAGTTCAGGGTCCAAATTAGCGAAGCACTTTGGTAGATGGTGGGCCCTGGAGTAAGCAGAAATGAGATACTGTAGCTGAAATCTTGTGATCATAGCATTTTCTTCAAAGTGTTTGTAGCATCAAAGGCGCCTTGTTTTCAGAATTCCAGAATGTGGTCTGCCGTTTTTGTACCTTAAGAATTGACCAAGATATTGAGAAATTTGTTTAAAATTCAAAATATTAAATATCAGCAAGGTTGTTTAAATCTTTAGTATCTTCTACAATTTTTATAATACAAAGAAGGAGGCCAAATCTTCTCAAGTTTTAAAGACTTACAATGTTTTCATATACTCCTTTGACATCTATTAACTTTACGAAAACCAAAGACAATTGTAAGTTCCAGGGTCCAATGTCTAACATACTGCATAACACCCCAGCGAAAAAATTACATCAAACTTTGACTATGATATATCCATGATTTAAATGCAATTAATTATTGCGCAATTCCTTTCAACAACAAAAAATGCAATGAACTGAACTGCCCCAGTCTCAAAGGCTAAGAAAATTGAATTTAAGCTTAACCTTGTTCTATAATATTCATTTGCAGCATGATAACCAGAAAACTCTGGTATAAGAAGACGACATTTTAGAATATAGCAGACCAATGTAACTGAATAAGTGATTTAAGAGGATACTAATTTTTTTTTGCTAATTTGTAACGACATCAATTAATTACACTGTGATGTTTTCCTTCTGTTCCATAGTTTTCTGGTTCTCACTGTAGCAAAATATCTAATTTTGATTAAACGACCCTCACAATTTTAAACAAAAAAAGTTTCCATTTTAATGTTCATCCAATGTGAACGAATGAGAAATGTATCATTTTAAAATGTTAATTAACTACAAAATTATTTGAAACTTAAAAATTTGAAATCTGTTGAAACAATTGTGAAACTTGGGCTTCGATTATTTTATAATCTACAGGGATATTTCCATTCTTTTATCTGCTGCATAAATTTGTAAGTCGAACAGTTAAAAATATTGATTTTTAGATGGAAAAGCAATTCCGCGAATATTTAATTACTTCCTTTTTCGCAATTATAGCGCAAGCGGAAGCAACATTGCGCGCAACGGGATTCCGACTGGAAACCCTTATCAGACTATTGCAGACTATAAGAGGAAAACAGAGATAAGTCCCTTACTGGCAAACAAGGACAGAGGAACTTCGAACAGAAAGATTGTTATGAATTATGTACTGACAAAATATAGTTGAGTACCGCCGGGAACTATTTACTACTTAGGACTGCACTGCGATCAAGGGACAGAGTGGACAAATATGACTAGTGGATGAATTACAAAAAATTCTGTAGACTGTAATAGAGGACTTTATATACGTTATGAATATGACTAAGCCATGGGAACTAGCAGACACTAAGAAGTACATGAAAAGACACTAGAAGAACAGACATTTTCGGCGCGTCGCGCATATGTTTAATTTATTTACTTATGTCGTTCAATTGTTGGAAACTGTTGGAAGTATATATTTTTAAAAGCAAGAACAAACCATGCTTATTATAAAACTATGATATAGAGCCAACCCTTAACAATTAAAAAATGCCGTTTTTTACTATATTTTAATAATACTTTAACTAAAAGTATATAGTCAGCAAGACTCAGTCCCGAAGATGGATAGGATTGGCTCGAACCGTGCATCCTGATCAACACTGCTATGGTCGGCAGCTCCCAGCTTATCATGGCCCACAACTGGTTTATCAAAAACCCAAAACTCCAAACTCATTAGAAGAAAATTATTGAATTGTCCCGTTTAACAAACTTTCCTAAAATGATCATCCTAGGTTATAATAAGGCTCGTACTTCGATTGGAGTTATTTAAATAAATAGAGGAATGGAACTTTGGTTAGATTATTCATGGAAATATAACATTAATAATTTAAATTACATAGTTTTAGTTAAGACAGCCAAAATTAGCAGTGTATCCTGTATAATTTACAAAGTTGTAACAATTGAAGAGGGTTAGAGTGGCCGAAACGGAATCCCCTGAAATAGTGTGATTTTAATTTGTAATTTAAAATTTAAATTTAAAAATGTGGCTTCCTCAAATCCTAAAAACAGCGTGTACCCCCCTCCCAGCCCATAAAAATTAAATTTCGCCCCTCACAAGTTCTAGCTGCGCCATGGCAACCAAGTTGTTCGTGAACGACGATGGTGTCGTTCAGTTAAAATACTAACGACGGATGAGCGACTTGGATGATGAAATATGTTCTACATTATTTTCTTTTAAGCTCTGGCACAAACGTAAAAATTTCACAAGAAAATAATTTACATTTATTACAGTTCGTTACAGAAAAGCCGCAAGATGTTCGCGAAACTACTTACATGTACATCCATTGTACAGAACAGCTGTACTGTATGACAAGAGTACAGTTTTCAATATTCTGCGTACATAAATGTATAAATTGTACCAAGTACATGCTACAGTTTGAAAAATAAAATGCACTTCAATACATACTACAGCGTATTAATTGTACAGTATAATAAGGATACTGTATACTGTATAGTGTACACTGTACATATTAAATGTTAGAGCCATTTTACCGGGATTAAACTGAAGAAAAATAATATTGAATTTGTCGACAATTTGCTTTAAAAAAGCCCAGACCACTATTAAAAGCATCTAACATGCGTTACATCCTCTACACCATTTGGAGTAACAAAAAACCCGTAATTCACTAAACTGACCCATCTTTGGCATGTCAATGAAAAAAATACTGGCTTAAAAATATTTGAGGACCCTAAAAACAGCCAATTATTAGTAGCGTCTAAATTCCAAGCTTAAATTTCATTTTATTCGGAATTAATATGACCATTAATAAATCAACTTTTGACGTAAATTACGACTTTGATCGACAATTTGTTAAATGGCTTAGCGTTAATGTAACGCACTAAAAAAATCCATTAAAATAGCTTTAACAAATCTGAAAATCATTTTTAACAAATCCCATGAAAAATCAACTGTTCAGGTTGGCTAAAGATGGCGGTGTATGGCGTAAAGTTGTTGAGTTTTGCGTGATGGATCAGGGGAGCTGGTTTTCCTGTTCCGTGGAATATTCTAGAGTCTAGACGGACTTGGGTCGGCTGATGGAAGAAGTACAATGTCGTGGTTCTGAACTTGACGAAACTGAAACAGAAAAAAAGTAAATTTTGACAGTTTAGAACCTGAGTAAAGGTTGGGTAATCTTGAAAGAAAGAGGAATTGAATACTAATTCAACTGCAGTGCTTCGGATCCATTTTCAGGGTGGCCAAAACTTTTTTGAACCCATCCGTACAAAAATCCGTACATTTTCAGAAGAAATCCGTACAATCCGTACAATTTTCGAAAACAATCCGTACAATCCGTACATTTTGGCCACCCTGCATTTTATTTAGATGCGGTTCCGGATCCAGAATTTAAAAAATTTTAGCCGATTTAAGTAGTTCCACTTTAATTCGTATTCTATGTTTTTAAGATTTGAGCCGGCACTCAATTGTAACCGGTTTTTGGGGGATTTCACACGGCTTAAATTCATTAAATTCGGACTCAGGTCATGAACATTTCTTGGAAGATTTATCGATTTTTTTTTAAACAAAAGAAAACTTCTATTTTTTCCCCTTCTTTCGCTTTTTAAAATCAAATGTCATAAAAGTTTTTATATTAAATCTCTTGACCATTTTCAAGACAAAAACCACTTTTTCGTTTGAGTATAATCCTCAATAAAGAACAGTCTTCACTTTCATAACTTTCTGAATTAATTCTAGAATTAAAGTTTCCGTATTTTTATCTGTTAAATTAGGGAATATCGATGATGCATTTTTAAGTATTCCGCATTTCTAGTTAAATCTAATTTGTAAGAAAAAATGATATTAATATTTTGATTTCTCAACGCTGTAATGATTTTTAAACTATAAAAGAACAGTTTGTTTTAATTTTCTATTTTGTTCTATTTTACCTTATCGAAAATCTTGTTTTGTTACTTAAGTGCGTAAATGCTTAAAAATTGATATGAATTCCGGTAATTGTCTCAAAACCAGGATATGTTCCGGAAACGCGACATGAGCTGAAAATCGGGAATTTTTTCAAAATAGGGATATGTTCGAAAATGAAATCAAGAATTATCGAAAACTAATTCTCACACCTATTTTAAGTTTAAAATTGACATTTATTGTTTGAATATATAGTTTAAACCATTTTTTATAAATATATGGTGTAATTTTGTTCTACTCGTCTTGGATTTAAAGATTTACACTTTTGAAAAAGATAACTTTATAGATTTAGCCCATTTCTAACACTTAGTGTTAGAAAAATGGACCAAGTGTTAGTTTTGGAACTAATATCCCCTGCATTCAGACATAAGAAAATTAAACAGACTTTATTTTTTTCTCAATAGTTTTGAGAGCAACAAGTCTTCCCTTGGATCCAAATACAAGAAGGCAAAATGTTGCGGATCCAATGAACTCAGATTTTAAGCACGGAGTTCAAGTTAGATGTAAAAGCACGAAACAACCTAAATCCCACTTCTGATGAATTCCCATCTAAAGTCAAAGCTTAAGTCAAGACAGTTTTTTCAAATTTGGATGACATTGTTGTGTTTTAGTGTTTAGGAGGCATCGACAAATGACAATGGTAAGCCTATTTAATCCATTTTTAAATTAACTATTAAAATGCAAATGGCTCCTGAAATTATTCTACGTTTTTTTAAATTAATTATTTTCTTTTAATACAATTTACCTTTTACCAGATCTTGACACTCGTGGCGGATAAATGATCTAACGACGAACCAAAGTAAATATTTGGCAAAGATCAATTATTTTGGGTTTTCAATTTTGAAATATGCTGAACTTCCTCCACCCCCCCTCCCTCACAAAAAAACGTTGAATAATTAGAAAACGGTTGAAAGAGGGTACAATCAGTACCCAACACTGATCGTCTAATGATGAATACGACTTTCGATATCAAAGCCTCTTCTAATTGTTTGTAAACATGTTATTCAAAAAAGCTGGGGTTATTAATTAAAACTTACAAAAAGTTGCCTTCATTATATTGATATAATCGCCTACCACCGTACACTTACAAAGGGTTCCAGTGAGAATTGTTAGGTCAGGACAAAATCCAAATAAAAACAGGTTGGATGTAGGGATCCCCGGGGGTTCTTTAAGTTCTTCATACCTCAGTCTTGCATTTCCTCTGGTATCTCGTGAGGATTGAGTATCCCAGGAACAGAGAGCTGAACCTTCCTCTTCTCCTCTTGAGCAGTCTTCAAGGATGCTTCCCTCTCCTCCAGGTACAAGTCACTATCATCCTCACCTTTAAACATCAGGTGTAATTATTTTAAAGAAATACCCCTTTAGGCCAGGGAATTCAAAGCAACAAAGATATTGTATAGAGTGAATAGTGATGATGTCCGCTAATTTTTTACTAATTGTATAGGCCGGGAACTATACCGAGAGCGTACTGCATATTTAATTATTATCAAGGAGATTCTGGCAATGCCTATAGTAAATCATTATTAGTTAACAGTTGTATGTGTTGTACAGTACAGCTAACCGAGCACACGGGTAAAAAACTATCATCCCCCCTAGTGAGATCAACTAGCTCGTTTTCTTATTAATAAATAAAAATACATTTGAGTGTCCAGAAAAAGTTTGGATCTGATCGGTACAGCCTTTAGAAAGTCTACTGAAATATCCCGAAAGGCCAAATTTAAATTTATAGTTTTTCTACAATACCTTAAAAAAAGAAAATTTAAAATAAAACGAGTTTTCTTTAAAAAGAAAATAAACTGAATATGAAGATCACAATAAAACCAACAAATGCGAGGATCTTGCAATGGGCGTTTATTTTCTAAAAAATATCACCCGAGATGGAAAAAACAGGTTTTTAGGGGGAAATCGATGAATTTAAAAAGTATCAAAAAAAGAAGGAAAAGGTTGGACTTAGGATGTCCAATTCTGAAAAATATTCACATTTGCAAACGGAACATGTATAAGAAAAATAATAATGCCGGGGTGAGTTTTCTACCTGTGAATTCTCTAATTTGTACGAGGAAATCTCTAAGATGGTCCTTGAACTGTGGAATATCCTGGTCCAGGTTGAACAGTCCTGTCACGGTAATCTTGATCTGATTATCAGACAAATGTGGGAATGCAGTTTTCAGAAGGTTTGCCACGTAGGTCTGAAAGGATAGGAAAGATGTGAGAAATCGTCCCAATTTTCCGGATGCATTTTGCTATTTTATGACACAAGTTTAAAAAGTAATAAAATAAAATAAAAAAGACAGAATGAATCTTTCTCAATATTCAGTAAAATACTTGCAAAGGAATTGGCCACTTGCCTTAAACTTTAAAGTTTAATGATTTAACTCTTATATCTTAGCAATCTGACATTTAAAACTCTGAAATCTGTTAGATCAAAGTTAAAGAAAAGCCCCGTAATTTACAGATCCCAGACATACTCCCAGTCTAATAGATTTACAGACAAATAATAAATTCCCATATTTCTTCAATAAATACATACCGACTTTGTGTAACGACCAACAACCTATTTTACTATTTTACTGACTTTGTGCGACTAATGGACATAACAGACGAATTACTGAAATACTGACTCTGTGTAACTGACCAACAAACTAATAGACCAATTAATGTCTCACTTACTTTGTGCTACTAATGAACATAACAGACAAATTACAGAATAAGTGTAGCTGAATAACAAACTTACTAGTTACATTACTAGCCTATTGACTATTTTCGACTAAAAGCTGTATTTTCGACTTACTGGCTAATTGCGAGCCAGACAAACTATCTGTACCTGTATGAATAGAATATTGTTAGTAGGTTGACCCAAGGCTACAGAAATCTTGCCGTTCTCAACCAGAGTAAACATATACGCTAGGATAGTAGCATGCATGGTTAGTCCAGCTGTGTGTGAGGTGTCAGTTACCTAAACAAATTCAAGGTTTATCAAATTTAATGGCCTGAGTTTGAGAATGCATCAAGATTATTTCTACTTGTTACAGAATTTCCATTATTACAATTTATCCTCGTTAGATTATCATATTACTACAAGAATAAATTGGAAAATAAAACGGGCTGAACCCGCAATTCTCAGTCGATTTAAACAGATTCACAACCGTGCCTAAGAATTGAGCTTTTTTTCAGAAAAATTGCGACTCTTTAACCACAAACTGTTAATTGAACAAGGACTACGGAATTTTAGGAGAGTAACTAACAAAAATTTAAAAAATCAATCTCCACATTTATAAATTGTTCAATTTCTGAAACCTACCACACTAAACATATGCTGCAGGATATCAGTGTAGTAGGTTTGGTAGAAGGATTGGGCAGCATCAGGATGGTTGGAAACATTCTGAATACAGTCAATAAATCAATCTATCTATCAAACTATCAAACTATCAAACTATCAAACTATTAAACTATTAAACTATTATTATTATTATTATTAGACCCTNCAACCAACCAACCAACCAACCAACCAACCAACCAACCAACCAACCAACCAACCAACCAACCAACCAACCAACCAACCAACCAAATGATAAATCAACCAAATATTGAAATAATCTATCAATCAACGATCATTGTTGATAAATCGATCATTGTTGATCAAAAAGCCAATCAATCAATCAATCAATCAATCAATCAATCAATCAATCAATTTTTTGACAATTCACACAATTAGTCAGGAACCATCCATCAATTTCTATGTTACACTTTTTTCTCAAGAAAGCAAAAAGAATGAAAATACCGTATATTCAATTTGCAAAGTCTTTAATTTTCATATGAAATCTGGTTACAACTTCGCAAAAAGTTTTTTAAAGAAATTTTATCTAACAAAAAACAAAACATATTTCTTGTTTAACCTGTAGAAGTTGGTATAGAATACTGAGTCCTGTATCTGCTACATTACGCATAGTATGCTTAAATGCCCAGATGATGGAGTCTAGAACCAGCTTAAACTGCTGTGGAGGAATAGCAAGGAAAGCTGAGAAACAATGCAGGTTTACAGCCTTAACATTAATTATGTAAATTTTAACAATTTAATTAGAAATAGGAGTGTCGTCAATTTTGAATACAACTTTCACAGAAGTAAAATGTCGAGAAACGAAAACCCAGAATCGGTCGAAGATAAGTAAGTCTCGACCGCTACCTGGAGAAGTGTGAAGAAGTTCGTCCTGTGCTCTGGATGGACCTCGAAGTCCTTGTTGATCATCTCCAGGGTACATTCGAAGACCGCGTCGAATATTTTGGGTATATGAGGGGTGATGTGGCTCCGCAGTTTGTTTACAACACAGGCCATTACAGATAATACTTCAGGTTCCCTAAAATGTTGACAATAAAAAAATGTTTTTTTCCCCTCAAATTTTTTTCAAAGGCTTAAGCGTTTGCCAGATGCGAACATTTTTTTTCAGAAAATTTTCTCGTTTGGATTCTTTAATTAAAAAAGAAAATATGAACGCCCCTTGAATTTTTTAACCATCTAATATAATGATCCAAATCTAACGGAGTAAATAAAGTATGTTTTAAAATCACTGTTTTAAGAAAGGGTTGTCTGATAAGAAATAATTAAGATAATATTCTTCAAAAAGATAATTTTCAAATAATAAAATTTTAAGGAATGTTTAAGATAATTATTGATTCTAATTGTTTCAGGGGTGTATATTAGTTTGAGACTCACATTCCCCCCCTTCAAAATCATATTTCCCCCAAATCCACGACTAAAAACTGACGTATTTTACAGGTTTCTGAAGACCACGCAAACTTAGAAGAAGAAGAGAACATAATTGGATTGTAGTAGTATAATGGAACAGTTTTGGTGCGCTAAAAAGGTGAACTTCGAGGAGGAGGAGGAGGCTTGACTTCAACAAGAAACAAAGAGGCGTGCAACGCGTAAGAGGGAAATAAATTGTCCCAGATAGGAAATACATAAGTTTCGCTGTATAAACCACACCCTCCCCCTCTCCCTTGAAACGTACTATTTACCTAGCCGATGGAACAGCACAGCGCTGATAATCCGCTAGAACAGCATCCAGCATGGGTGGTATAAAATTATCTAGAACCATCTGAGGATCTGTAGATCTCTCCACCCAGCAGCTGATCAGCTTCAGGGTCTCCTTCTTTACTACACGCATACTCTTGATCAACGGCTGCTTTGTCACCTGAAGAAAATGTTAAAGATCCAAAATTTAATGTTGTCCAAATGTGTAAAGTATGTGATCAAAATGGCCCTTCAAGTTTTATCAAATACAAGTAAATGGGAACCCAGCGTTGCATAAGAGAGTTATAGTTAGTCCACCGTTTACCCGCCCTTTGTCGTGAATTACGATTTTAGATATTTTTTCCCGTTAAAAGTTGACCCACTCAACTTAGAACCTTAAAACCAAGCTAAGAAAATTCCCGTGGGCCTCTAGTGTGCCCCAATTGAAATTTGAGGCAAGTCGGTACAGGGGGTCCTGAGTTATGATCGGACAAAAAAGACAAAGAGAATCAAATTTATATACAATTTACCTGTTCGCCGTTGTGTGTGATTGCCGCTGTAATATTTTCACTCATAACCTTGTACACGTTTAACATATCCAGATAGATTCTTCCCAGCTGTAGTACATACGGGTGCCCTGTACATAAGGTTGGTTAAAAACAAGCTTCAGGATAATCAGATTTTTTAATACAATTTCATTTTTCAGCGAGAAGATTAAGGTCCTCATTTACCAACCTAAAGTTGATATAGGTACGCAAAATCGATTTTATTCATCATGCTTAATTCACAAGCATAGAAAAAAAAATAATTTTTAATAAAAAAACTATCCATCAACCTCTTAAGACTGTAGCAACCGAAAACGTTAGAACGACTTCATGATAATTAGTGAAAAGAAGAAAAATAAACTTTTTCAACTTATGAATAAAAAAAAAACTCTGTCATATTTGATTTTTTTATTCTTAATGGGCCACCAAGCTATTACCTAGTGCTTTGCATGCTCTGACGTTTGTTTTCAGAATACTGCCCAACTGTTTTACGGCTTCATGATCTTTCAACACTTCAACATTCTTACTCGCCTAAATAGGAAACTATTAATATTCAGACAATAAATTTATGTAAAAAAGTAGTGTTATTTTTATATTTATGCTTAACAAATAATTCTTTTAACATTTGTCACCTGGGAAGTTTACGAGATATTTGGTATTTTACAGACAACGCCAGGTATTCTAACAAGTTGTTAACAACAAGGAGGCTTCAAATTTTTCTCCCCCTTATTGTTTACACACATTTTTTTTGCCAAATCGTCAAGTAAATCATTTTTTAAAAAAACCTGATTTTAGACTAACAACCAGTGTTTCGGATCCATATCATTTTGATTTGGATCCGGATCAGGATCCGCGGATCCGCATCCGTGTTCATGGATCCGGATCCGGCTCCTGATACGGATCCGGATCCGGATCCGAGGTAACTTTTGATTCTGTGAATCGGATTTTCCCTATTAAATGTTATGCAAGGTTATAATTTATAAACTATATTTATTATTTTAAAAATGTCGTCATTAATTTACTATTATATAAATGTAAACATTAAATTATTAAAGATAATTTTGAAAAATTTTCGTCATGTAAAATGTAAATAATACATTTACGAACCATTTTGATTTATTTATTCCATGGTTTTGGTTAATTTTTGACGCTACCCGGATCCATATTGGATCCGCATCCTGATACGGATCCGGATCCGGATCCGACCAAATGATACGGATCCGACCGGATCCGGATCCGAAACACTGCTAACAACTAAATTCAAACTTAACACAATCACACTGTCATAAAAGTCTCAATCATTTGTGGGTAACCCTGAATACAACTGATGACAATTTGTTAGAATACGATGACAGTCCCTTGAAAGAAAAGACTAAATGATAACGAAAATTACCTGGTTAATAATGTCATCCCAGACTTGGTTCGGTAGCATCATATACTTCTCTATAAGCTGCTCTTGCTGCTGCTGATCATTACTAAATAAGATGTCATGCATCATATATTAGTCTAAAGCTGCTTATCATTGCTCAATAAGCCATAATGCTAATCTGTTAGAAGCTTCATATAATACTATAAAGCTGCTAATCATTGCTAAATAAGCTATAATGCTCAACTGTTTAAAGCATCAAATAAAAATCTAAAGTTGCTATCATTGCTAAAAAAAATCATGTAAAGTATTGATTAATACTTTTCTACATAGTAAAAAAATAACTGTAAGGGATTGAGATGAAACAGATTAAGATTTCATGAAAAATCATACTGTAAGGAATGTAAAATGAGGAATATGAATGAAAAATACAGATTCATTTATATAATATGGCAACGCTAAATTCACGCATGGGATTAGACATCATGGCCATCAGCATCTTCCAAGCTAAATCATTTTGGTAAACAGTATGGAAAGGAAGGAAAACGCGTATTCAGTTCAAGTCCAATTTGTTTCCTTTCTCAATCCTCCCCCCCCCCCCCCCCCCATAAATATTTTTTTGGTTTGGGGGGGGGGGGGGAATCATATCTATAAGGCACAGGATGATTTTTAGAGAAAAAATATATTGGCGAGCTTGAATAAAAATGGCATAACTAACCTTGCTGAGATCATATGCCCGACGGCCTCGTAAAAGGTTTGAACTTGTTGAGGCTGGAGGTCACAGATAATTGAGTTTATGGAGGACAATAATTCATCGATAAACGGCATCACTTCTCCCACCTGAACAGTACAAACATGGAACACATTGTTTAGTGATGCTTAGGATCTATTTCAATTGGATCCGGATCCTTGATCTGTCAGTGTAAAGAATGGAACCGGATCAAGAACTGAAAACGATACCTTTAATCTCGATTGCTTAATCTGAATATCCAATGTGGGCACTTTTATTTTTCATCCTTAATCCACTCTCTTTGGATATCCGTAATTTGTTTGACCAATGAGAGTCCACTCATTAAAAAGCGCGCACAATTTAAAATTTCCCGACGTCTCTGATTGGGTGGTCTGGTTTCTCCAAACGCCACTCGATTGGTTGAGTTAACACTTTAGTTGATAAAAACTTAAAGATCGTATATTTAATGATATGTCTGATCCAGGGGTGTATATTTTCTTTAAAAATAATGTAGTCCCTCTTGGAAAATCCCTTTCTTCCAAAAAGCTAGGTATGTTTGCGCAAAGCGCAAAAGCAAATTATTTGTTATCTTTTCTTGTTTTATGTTTCTAATTATGTATTCCTGTATCCATACATGGGGGATTCACTCGACCAAAGACTCTCGTGGAAGGATAACACAGAATGGGTCAGTGGAGAGAGACCAAACACAAGGACATGTTACACCTCGAGGTCAATGCTAGGATCAGAATGGGTAAGACATGCGTCGAATATTTCAAAGAAATATACACCGAATGTCGGACCAGGTTGAAGAATAAAGGTTTAAAGCACAGTCGTGAAGAACTACTTTGAGATGTCATGTTAAATAGTTATGATCTCAGAAAGATTCATGAACCTAATCTCTGAACATTCAAAAATTCTGAGAATAATATTTGAGGTATAACAACTAATTTCAAAGTTAAACTAAACTCAAACAACCAGTGAATTATTGACATCTTTCCATGTAAGCTCGAGTTTTACAAGCAATCCATTTATATTCTTTTTTTCTTCTATTTTTACTTTCTCTCATAGTGGAAATTCTCAGGAATTTTTAGACGAAAAGTCTCTTTTTGGCCATTTTTGAATCCATTTCGTCGTCAGATGAAAAGTCCTTTTTTCGGGTTTTCCTTGCATTTCCCTATTATTTAATAATTTTTATAGATCAAAAGGCAGTCCATTGCAACCTCATTTGCAAATAGATTTTTCCCTAATTGTAGTTTTTAACCAATGTTTGCATTTTTTTCCAAGAAGAAAAATCTGCAACTACGTTTGCAAAATTATTCTAACTTATATATCCAATAAATTTTAATCATTAGAGAGCTATGCGAAAAGTAGCTCATAACTATTATAGATACGGAATGATTCTTTTAGGAAATATTGTCGCAAATCATATACAATATTATTTATTCATAATACTGAATAACGTTGTTATTTGTTAAAAAGAAAAAATCTAATATAATCTATTTGTTCAAAATTTAATTTGTTACCTGAATCTGAACAAACTGTCTTCGACACTTGAGCGCTATTTTGATAAATGTGTCGCAAGCCATATCCTAAATTCAATAATTATCGTTATTAATTTATTCATTGGCTTTTTATTTCTTACACTAGCATTTCCCAAACATTCTTTTTTCCTTTTCTACGGCTCTCAAGATACGCCCCCCCTTTAACAAAATCTGACCCCCATACCCCCTCCACACATTTTTATCCATTTCCCTTTTGTCGACCCCCTCCCCCATCTTCTTCTACCGACCTGAACCCCCTCGTGTGTCTCGTGCATGAACTCGAAGAGTTTGTTGACCACGGTCTTGAGAAACCTCCAGTGAGCTCTAAGGAAGCGAGGGTACTGTCCCACGATGTACATGATGTTGGAGGCTATGATGGCCTTGTTGTCCTTTCCCTTCTTCTGCTCACATAACCCCAACAGATCCTAAAAAAGAGAAATAGAAAATGGAGTTTGAAAAGATCTATTGAATTCAGATAGATTATCTAGTATGGAATCTAAGAGTTGCCCCAGTTGTTTGAGAGACCAAGACTGCCAAACGAGATTACATTATTTCCAATGAGTAACATTATAGTGAAATTTGGCTTTAAGTCAGACCGTAACTGTTATTGTTGTTAATGATCTCAGAAATATATTTGTATTTCTTTTTTCTCCTGTTAAGAAAAGTTCGAATAATAAGATGAATTTACCAATAACCAGAAATTTTTTTTCCCGATACAATCCCACCAAAATCACGAGAGTTTTAAGCCGATTCACTTTTCGACTTAATGTAACTCATCTAGTTTTTAGTGTGTGATAGATTTTTTTCAATTCACTTTTCAGACAACAAGTGCAAAAATTCAAACTTAAATGAGCGTTAGTTTGATGTGGTCAATTAGATCATGGACCAGGGGTATTTTTATTTGTGAGAATTTGAAGAAAAACATAAAAATTCAACATTACTTTATCTAACTTCAAGGGAAAAGATTGTTTTCAAGGGGGGATTTTATATAAGAAAATAACTACCCCTGCAATAGACCAACCTTGATGACGGTAACGAGAAACCTCTTCTCGTCCTCTTCATGCATTGAGCCAGAGATAGAACCTATTGCCCAGCACAGAGTGTTCAAGTTCTTCCAGGACCATTCGTTACCGTTCACCTAGCATACAAGTCATGATTAGGGTTTCCACTGTCCAGCGAAAGAAAACTTTCGCGAAAATGATTTTTGGGAACGGAAGCGAAAACGATGCGGAAATTAGTGAGAGAAAAAAATACAAAATATGCGACAATTCCACGAAAAAAGGCAAAATTTGTCGTTTTTCTTTCGTGGAACAAAAAATGTGAAATTTCACGAAAAAATGAAAATTTTCGCAATTTCCTGCGAAAGAACTGGTTTTTTTTTAAATTAAGAGATTAACCAATTTTTATCACTTATAAGAGTCAAAATTTACACAATTCACTTTTTTTAATTGGCCAAAGACCGCTACAACTGAAAGACGCCAGTTTGCCAGTTCGATAATAATGTGTTTTTTGGATTAGCCTAGTTCAATTTTAAATCTTGATGGAACTGTAATTTTTCCCCAGAGGCAACCGAAGGGAAAGGGGGGGGGAGCACGCAGAGGGGGTTGGGGCATACCTGATTTGCCAATTTCTCTGTCATGATCCTCTCTGTGTCGACATTATCTAAATGCGTGAGATAGACCAGAGTTTCTCTCATGTTCTTGTACATATTGATGCTGTCTGTATCCTACAATGAAATGAAATGAAATGAAATGAAATGAAATGAAATGAAATGAAATGAAATGAAATGAAATGAAATGAAATGAAATGAAATGAAATGAAATGATACAGAGATTGCTTCAGGCATCATTAAGAAACAAAAATACGGGGCTAAAATTTTAACATAAAATTAATAACACTGTTATTTCTGTCCGCAGTGGTTTTCAGCCTAGGCTTGGGATATAATATAATCTTAACATGAACCTCCTTGATTCAGAACAAATTCTTCAATATAAAACCTTTGTTGTAAACATCGTGCCGTAAGTGGTTATAGATATTTTTATGAAATGTTCCTGAACTTTTCTTTATTCATTGTGGGCATTTATTTTTCATTCAAACTGAACATATTATGGGAAGTTATTTATTTTTGAGAAAAATCCAAAAACCTTTTAAATTCTATAACACAATGCTTCAATATTCCTAGCATTCCCCCCACCCTCAAAGTGAATTCAATTAAAATTTTTAAAAATTTTTAAACAAAAATTTTTTAAGTGAAGGGTGCATTTTGAAACAAAATTAATTTTTATTTGAGGCTAAAATACATTTCATTTAAACAAAAACATCACAGAAACTAATCATTGCCCCCCCCCCCCCACCTCGACCCCAGTGCCTATTATATTACATGGAAATAGAAAATAATAACGAAGTAACCGACTAACCTTCATAAATTCTCTTACAACCTCCCCTTGGTCGTTTTCAACTACTAGAACTTCTTCAGGTTTAGCCATCTTCGAGATCATAATATACCGGACCTAAACAAGATCATAATATACCAGACCTAAACAAGATCATAATATACCAGACCTAAACAAGATCATAATATACCGAACCTAAACAAGATCATAATATACCAGACCTAAACAAGATCATAATATACCGGACCTAAACAAGATCTTAATATACCGGACCTAAACAAGATCATAATATACCAGACCTAAACAAGATCATAATATACCAGACCTAAACAAGATCATAGTATACCAGACCTAAACAAGATCATAGTATACCGGACCTAAACAAGATCATAATATACCAGACCTAAACAAGATCATAATATACCGGACCTAAACAAGATCATAATATACCAGACCTAAACAAGATCATAATATACCGGACCTAAACAAGATCATAATATAACAGACCTAAACAAGATCATAATATACCGGACCTAAACAAGATCATAATATACAAAACCTAAACAATATCATAATATACAAAACCTAAACAAGATCATAATATACTGGAGTAAGAAAATATATACCACTATAATATACCCAACCTAAATACGTTCATAGAGATCAAAAACCATAATACTATAAAGTACACAAAGTGCAAATGCATATTTTATCAATCCCGAAACAAATAAGTAAGAAGACGACTTTCATTCCATTCTTTCTTCAAACTTTGCAGGGAACTTTGATGACTGTTTTAGATAACACACCAGGAGGGGCATTTTTTCAACGATTTCAGCCATACACGCGAGCTAGAATCATTGAATTATTCTTTTGTACTAACGGTCCGGCATGCATACCAGGGTGGTTCGATTAAGGAACCAAGCTTAGGGCCATTGTGTAGTTATTACACCTACACCTAAATATTCTAAGAACTACCCAGAAACAAAATAATAAAACTTGTACTATGAAGTATTATTTGTACTATGTTGTAATATTTGTACTATGAAGCATTATTTGTACTATGTAGTATCATTTAAACTAAGAAGTATTATTTGAACTATGTAGTATTATTTGTACTATGTAGAAGTCTTTGTACTATGTAGTATTAGTTGTACTATGTGGTATTAGTTGTACTATGTAGTATTATTTGTACTTGTACTTTGTAGTATTATTTGTACTATGTAGTATTATTTGTACTATGTAGTATTATTTGTACTATGTAGTATTATTTGTACTATGTAGTATTATTTGTAGTATGTAGTATGATTTGTACTATGTAGTATGATTTGTACTATGTAGTATGATTTGTACTATGTAGTATGATTTGTACTATGTAGTATGATTTGTACTATGTAGTATGATTTGTACTATGTAGTATGATTTGTACTATGTAGTATGATTTGTACTATGTAGTATGATTTGTACTATGTAGTATGATTTGTACTATGTAGTATGATTTGTACTATGTAGTATGATTTGTACTATGTAGTATGATTTGTACTATGTAGTATGATTTGTACTATGTAGTATGATTTGTACTATGTAGTATGATTTGTACTATGTAGTATGATTTGTACTATGTAGTATGATTTGTACTATGTAGTATGATTTGTACTATGTAGTATGATTTGTACTATGTAGTATGATTTGTACTATGTAGTATGATTTGTACTATGTAGTATGATTTGTACTATGTAGTATGATTTGTACTATGTAGTATAATTTGTACTATGTAGTATTATTTGTACTATGTAGTAGTATTTGTACTATGTAGTATTGTTTGTACTATGTAGTATCATTTGTACTATGTAGTATTATTTGTTCTATGTAATATTATTTGTACTATGTAGTTCTATTTGTACTATGTAGTATTATTTGTACTATGTACTATTATTTGTACTATGTACTATTATTTGTACTATGTAATATTATTTATACTATGCAGTATTATTCATACTTTGTGATAATTATTTATACTTTGTAGTATTATTTATAATATTTATTATTTATAATATATAGTATTATTTATGTTATTTAGAATTATTTGTACTTTTAGTACTAATTGTACTATTTAGTAATAGAACAAATAATAATACTGCGTAGAAATAATATTACAGGGTGTCCCGCATCATATTAGATCGTTTATAGCGCTAAATTAAGATTTAAGGGACCTACCAGAATATTAAAGAGAATGAATCAATCTATAAAACTGTATAAGGTTTCGAGCATTATGTGCGCATTTGGCGTTAAAGCTTGGAGATAATTTAATATGATATTGGACACTATGGTCTATATATAGTACGATTATTACTAATAATGCTGCATAGTACAAATTATACTGCGATGTACACCATAGAACTGCGTAGAACTAAATCCCCAATTATTACTGCGTAAAAATACTACTACTTAGCTTATAGTAGTAATAAAAATACTTATACTACATAATACAGTACAAGAAGTACAAAAAGTAAAAAATTACTTCAAAATTGAACGAATAATACTACGCTACATATTTAGATATTAATTCTTAGTACAAGTAATTATTCTTTTAAGTGCAAATAATGCATAGTATGAGTAATACTTCACGGTGCAAATAATATCACTGAGTTATGAGTTCAAATTTAATACTACAGTTCATAGTACAAATACTACTACTAGACGAGAAGTCTTTTTTTACCCTAGACGAGAAGTCTTTTTCTATTTTCTATTTTCTATTATATTCAAAAAGAGAGGTCCTTTTTCATTTCATGTAAGATCTTATTCCAGATCTCAGAGTTGCTAAGTCTCTACTAGTTTAAATTCCATACCTTAAATTAGAGAGTAATTTGCGAGAAGCATTTTTGAATGTATATATATAAATGAATATTCGTGTGTTTTTTTATCATTATTATACAATTTTCTCAGATCTGTACCTTTATTGTTTCAATAAAAAGTTTGAAAGAGAAAACAAATACTACTGAATACAATTAGTGCTACACTTATAATTGATCTTGGACCTGAGTTCCAGCGTTAATTGGTCGGGACATAAAGAGACATAATTTACCTTTGTGAGAACAGGTTGATAAAACCCTCTTCTGACCGGGGTCCTTACGTTAGTTGGCCGGGACATAAAGAGACATAATTTACCTTTGTAAAGAACAGGTTTATAAACCCTCTTCTGACCGGGGTCCCAGCGTTGATAGGCCGGGACATAAAGAGATATAATTTACCTTTGTAAGAACAGGTTGATAAAACCCTCTTCTGACCGGGGTTCCAGCGTTGATAGGCCGGGACATAAAGAGAGGACTACCAGTTGAACTGCAAAAATTATAAGTTTTTTAACGCTTAAGGGAGAGGGCGGAACTTTATTGTAATAATAAAAAAAATTCAAGGGTGGAAGGAATAGATTACAGGTATATATAATATAGAATATAAATAGAATCAGACATAAGAGATTTAAAAATGTTTAAATTCCTCTTAACAAACATGAATCTAATGATAAGAGCAGGGAAGAGCTAGCTAGTGGTTCTAGAAATATCGAATATCAAAATTCCTTCCACATTTTTATTCTTCTCAATAATATCTTTATATGTGTGATCGACACAGCTGATCCTTTTAACACTGAACAATGCATCTTAGAGGTGATGTGAACCCTTCGTTTTGCAAGTACACACCCGATTCGCCACAAACTATGGAGTAAAGGGGTCACTTATTTAAAAAATAACCATTGAAAAATAAAAAAAATAATTAAACCTGAAAGGAGATTCTCTGTATAAATCTGCTGCTAAAGAATTCCAATATTCCAAACATATCTTACTAATCTCTGTGTCGTCAACCTATGATAAGAGATTTATTATTTTTAGAATAGAAATGATTCTTTTTCTCTATTTTTTTTTAGATAAATCTGGACATCGTGTGTTTCAAGCCACTTACTCAGAAGATTTGACCTTTTTGGTTGAGGTTTATTTTGGTCTTAAATTTATTCTCTTTTCTAAATTTCTTTTAAACTTTTGGGGAAGAGAATTCATCTCGTTAAAGTTTTTTTCCCCAACTTTTTTTTATTTTCCCATACATTACTTGCGAGGAAGAAAATTCAAGATGAATATTCTGAATTTGCATGAAACTTAAGGGGAAGAGAATTCAATCTAAATGGAAAACTTTTCCTTCTTCTGAGGAAAGAAACTTCAGTAAAAGAAAATTCAAACAAAATTATATTGTTTTTTCCTATTTTGATTTTCCAGACTAGTTTTAGGGGAAAAATTCAAACTGAACACATTTTTCATCCCTTTTACTAGGTTACAATTTTTCATCCCTTTTACTAGGTTACAATTTTTCATCTTCCTCTCTCTATTGATGTTGTTTTCTTTACTTTTGTTCTTATCCCTGTTTGATCAAATTTTGATATTGAAAGTAAGAATATACAGCATACAACCCTGAAAGAAAAAATAATTTGCAATTGCAGTTTTGCTTAAAATTGACTTGCAGCAGTGATAATTTAACTGAATTAAGAAAAAAGAAGACGGTTTTGAATAGATAACTATAAAAATTACATTAGCAGTCCCCTCAAAAAATAAACTTCACCTCTGAAATTAGAAGAAGGTAGTGAAGAGCTTTAAGCAATGGTTCCTGATCCCCTTGCTTCTCTAGTAACTGACCATGCTCCTGCAAACAAACAGAATTATTATTTATTAATTTTGTTATCATTAATATCTTAAACTATATAAATATATAAAGTTGTAATCTCTGTTTGATTGTTTGTTAGGTTTTATGTCCGATCATGACCCAGAAACCCCTGCACCGATTTGCCTCAAATTTTGATCATCAAGCTAGAAAGCAAATTTTGTGTTGCTGAGTGTCTTTATCTGTGCGATACCAGACTTTTTTTAAAAATTTTTTAATTAATTTTTCTAATCCTTCTGTTGGTTCAGATCCCCCCCCCCCCTCTTACGTCAGTTCTTTCAGGTTTCCCCCATTAGGCAAATTAGAGACAACAAGGCTAACTAGTACTTTTTCTTTTGATCTATGATAATTTTTTTTTAAAATGTATCAATGTTTAAAATATTTAATTTGAATTATTGGTTGAAAAAACATCAAACTTCATAAAAGTTAAATTCTCAATATCTTAATTCACTCTAATCAGCGAAAAATCAAAAAATTAAAAATTCTGTTTTTTCGTCTTCCAAGCCTAACAATTTCTCTTCTTTGGAATACGATTTGAGTCATTTAAGAACTGACAGGGGTTTGACTGTTTAAAGTTGTAATCTCTGTTTGTTTGTCCGATCATAACTCAGGAACCCCTTGACCGATTTGCCTAAAATTCTAATTGAGGTACCACGGAGAACCACGGAAATGTTAGCTTGGTTTCAGGATTTTAAGTTAAGGTTTGCCGACTTTTTAAGTAAATTTTGTTTACCAGTAAAATCGACCAAGTGCGGGTAAACGGTGGGGTTACCTATTATTGACCTGGGCAGCGCTGGGTTCCCAAGCTTGTTAATATAAATATGTTCTCCCCACCCAAACCCCCTATTTGACTACCTTTTTTCTCCTCGTATACAAAATGAATGTATTAAGTCAGTGTTTGAATCAGTTTTTCATTTTAAAAATAGCGAGAGAATTAACTCCCCCCCCCGTTCATAAGTAAGCTTTGTCATGCATACCTTAAGAAACGTGCAGAAGAAGAGAGCAAGGTTTTGGATAAAGTTCTGCTCTGCATCTGATCCTTTCTTATACGCATCCTAAACAAATAACATGCATTAAAGGGACTGTAAACGTATTTTAAAGTGAATCTTCATTTGTAGATTCACAACCGTAAAATTAAAAGCGTTGTCTGAATGAATTAGATTTAAAGGTATCTTTATTCCCTTCCCTTAATTAAATCTTATGTCTCTTGAAATATCGACAATTCCTTTAATATTCAGAAACTATTAAAACGTTCTAATCAGAAGAATGTGATGCTTTTAACCAAAATTAATCAGAGCCCGAATTTAATGAATTTAAGCCGCGTCTAAAATACGCCAAAACCGGTTTCAATTGACCGCTAGCTCAAACCTTGAAACATTGAATACAATCTTAAGGGGAACAGTCTGGAGTAGGAAGATGACTTTAGAATCAAGTAATAATTTTAAAAAGTCCAATGAGTACGAGACACAGCAATTGTGCAGTGTAACCAGACCCATTTCACTTAATTAGTGATTTAGTAAGTGTCTAGTGAATTATTTGCTTTGTAACAACATCTAATACACTGAAGTATTGCTAATGCCATCTTTCTATTTCGTTGTTTCTGTTTATCACTGTAGTTCAAATTTTTAAAGAGGTATTAATCAAATAAAAAAATTTAAGAAGACAATTTAATCCTCTAACTCTTGAAAAAAAAGTGCTATAGACTTCTAAATAATGAACTTGTAAAAGATTTATTACATTTGCATACAATTTAATTTTTCCTGTACCAGATTTTAATACGTTATCCTGTACATACTTAAGGCTCTGGTGGGTTTAGAAATTGTTCGCTTAGCATAGCTAAGTGGTTGGAAATTAAACTTTCTAAGACGACTTTCATATTCATGATTAAATATTTAATTTGGCAGACATGAGGTATACCTTGACATTTGTTTCTACAGGTAACATTGTTTCCAGCTGTACCATTGCCTCATTAAACAACGCTGAAATAAACAGTGAATCATACGGTAGTTTATCAATCAATAAATCAATATTTCAATCAATTAATCATTCAATCAATTCTCGTATTAAATTGAATCAATAATGAGACAATGAATTTATCAGTTGTATGTTAGATGAATTGCCAATTTATTTTGAATCTTCTATTCCATAAATCTCTAATCTATAAAGCCATGATCCCTAGCCTAATGGTTCCGGAATGTTCTGTAAAAACGTGATAAAGCAAAACAAAGTGTATTTGACCTTCATAACTTTTTGGTTCTATTTGATCGGAAGGAATTTATTGCAAATAATGAGAAGGGAGACTTACTGGCACTCCCACTTCTATAGAATTCAAGCTGGTACCCTAAATAGGATATTTAAAGGGATTTTAAACAATAGCTCCGGATTTAAATGATTTCTCAGACGGCCCCCGGAAGTCTCAAATATTTGGGTTCGATGCAGATGACTATTAGAATTTAGTCCCCGATTTTGTGTTTAGAGGAACTTGTTTCAAATGAAATTTCATGTCGCTTTTCTCCCCTTGCCTTCCATATGCTTGTGTCTGTGGGTGGAGGGGAGGGGGGGGGGGGTGCAGGGAATATGCCCAGTGAATAAAGATATTTCTGATATAAAAATATTAAAATATGATTTTATTTCAAGATCAGAAATACATGTTTGCGCGCTATCAATTTTTGATAACAATATTTGCAAAATTCATTATTCACACATGTTTAAATTGTAAATTGTTAAAAGCTCTGTTTATGAAAATTTAAATCAACTTATGCAACGTTTCGTAAATCATTTTTAAAATCTTATTAAGCATGATAATTTTGACCGAAGTAACACAAATACGTTTATACAGGATGTCACAAATTAAATGAGAAATAGATGACGACTTTAACGTCGTCTTCGATCTTCCACCCATTTCTCGCAAACACAATTAGAAGTTGTATTTCTGTTGACACAATCGTTGATAAAAAACATTGTCTTAAATTATTTTCAATATGTGGTTACACAATTTTAAATTTTTGTTCTGGAATTGACATTAAGAAGATTCATAGAAATGTGTCCATTTAGTTTATTAAAAATAAATCACCATTAATCAATATCTCCGACATTTTACAGGATATTTGCAGAGAGTTTACACTCGATTATGAACAAAAAGTAAAATTTTTTTTCGTTTACTCTTAGACGTTTATCAATGGTTCAGAACAATCTTTTTGTCTTCTGTAAATTCCCATGATTATTGGAACACCCTGCACTAGTGCACTATCCTTTAGGTCAACTCACCAACAAATTTCTCGTCGTAGTGTGTAACTGTAACGCTTGCAATTTCCGTCAAACACTTCATCGTAATATTCCGAAACATTGGAACACTCAAAAACTGGAAAACAAACAAAAAACTCTTTTTTTGGACTGGATAATGCATTCCAAAAAGTGTAAAGACAGACGCAGAAAATCTTTAACTATTCTAAATAAATTTTGCTTGTCTATCTTTTCAGTGGTCTGTTTGATCCAATAAACGTCAAACATTTACAATCATTTTTCTTTAAAAAAGTCACAATCATTGAAAAAATGCCCTGAAGTCGGCTAGTAAAAACTTAAAATTCAAGACAATCTTTGATAATTTGATAAAAGTATTTTTGTTAAGTTCCTTGACGATGAGTGTCTGTATAAGCTTTGTCTCGAAGATATATCCAAGAGGAATCCAGTTCAAGAATTTGAGAAGAGTGTCCAAAGTTGCACCCACCTAAATATTGAATATTATTATTTGCATTTAAATGAGATATACTTTTATCCTATTTTCTTGTTCCACCCCCCCCCCCCCCGGCCCTCCGATCCCATTAAATAAAAATCCCAACCAGTTATTCAAGATAATTCCTAATACAACTTTTAATGGACTAAGCCTTATTATATCATATCTGTTCGGTTCCATAGTTGTAAACCTATCGTGTAAGAATTCCCATTATTACACGGTTCAGGAGGAACAATTTTAATATTGTTCGCTTCCTTGCGTTTAAGAATACTTATTCTTACACTGTAGGTGTAGAATTTTCATTCTTTAACGCTCAGACCGCGTAAGAATGGAAATTATTACACGGTCAGAGCGTGAAAGAATGTATATTCTTCACGCTCCAAGCATTAAAGAATGGAAATTCTTACACTAGTTAAAGAATATTCATTCTTACACGCTCCTTATATTGATCTTTTCAGCATAGATCATTATTGATATTAACTTAATTATTTTGTACTGACAACATGCACAGGGCAAACTCACCTTTTTCTTTTACATTAATACATGCAAACTTACCTTTTTTAACTTAAAAACAACATGCTCACTTACCTTTTTCTTTTATATTAAAACATGCAAACTTACCTTTTTTTACTTCAGTAAAACATGCTCACTTACCTTTTCATGCTCACTTACCTTTTTCGTTTTTTGAAGTATTGATATACCTTAATTCAGAAATATCAATTTGAATCTCAACCCTAGTCCTGACAGAAGAGTGAAAATTAACATTTTCTGACCATTTCCAAAAATATGGACGATGCCTTTAGCCTTACATTAGACACTTTCATCAAACTGCCGAGTCTTAAAGCATACTGCCCGACTGCCTACTTTATAAATTTTTTTTAGTTCATCTTCATTTCAAACCAAGTTTGGTGAGATTTTGCAAATCTCTGCATACTTGTAAATAGTATGGTCAGAGCTTTTCAGTCTGAGTCACCATATCTCGCATAGTTCGAGATGATGAAGTGAAACCACAATCAAAACCAAAAAGAAGTATAAAAACTTATCATAGAAATATTGGTGTTACACTTTTTATGGAGTCTTAGCACCCCACAGCAATGAAAACAAACCAGTAAATCTTGCTTCATGAATAAAAGACAAAGATCTTTGTCAGTTTAGGTCGAACTGATTCTTACTAGATAACCTGCTTTTATCTCCTTTTTTTGGAAGATTTAGGATCTAATATCCAGAAAATGATTTCTTCTATAAATGAAGACACAATATTGTTCAGTAGATTAAGACAACCCACTACTATACCTTCTCTCCATCTAAAAAACTCAGGGCACATTTAACATGCTGTATCTAAATGTAGTATCAACTTAAAAAACGAGCAAAATCATTGGTAAACAAACAAACTAAACTAAGGAAACAATCACACCACGTGCATTACTTTCAAATTAAGAACCAATTTTTACTTCTAAAATGTTTTTTTTTTTTTACATTTTAACATTAGAAAAATAAAAAACAGTGTTAGTCAGAACAAGAGCATAAAACTTATTTGCAACCTTTCATAATGTGAACTCTTCCAACTTGAAATAGTCGGTTTTCACCAGAATTATTTTTTAATATAATTTCTTGGGTATGTGCCCATGGAACCTCACAAATATGATATAATAATAATCTTATGAGGATAAAATGTAATAATGGTATTCTTAAACGAGATGAAATAATCTTGATGTATTCTTTAACGAAGGCCGCAATTATTACATTTTTTTCCTAATAAGATTATCATATTATTATCTATCTGTGTTATGTTTACGTTTAAGTTACAGGGAATGTTGACGTTATTTCAGGTGAATATTCTTACATGTCTGAATCACTTTAGTGCTTTTCAAACCTATATTTGAATAACATTCCAAACCATTAAAACATTACAAAAAAAACTGAAGATTTTTTTCAAGAGGGATTTCTCATAAGAAAACATACTCCTCTTTCTTTAACATCTTTTACATTGTACAGTGTAGTAATTTTAACAGTGTATTGTATACTGTACAGTGTACGGCACAGAGTGGTGTGGCTGTACACTGTACAACACAATATTAGACGTTTTCTACTATATATAATCAGTACTCACCAATGCTGCGTTATTACTGTTATCCATTACAAACTGGCAGAGGGTGAACACATCACTAAACTGGGAACACATAGAGTCCTTCAAGTGCTTAGCCTTAAAAATAGTTAGCATAAGAGACTGTTCACGAGTTGTTGAGACAACATAAATCTCCACTGGAAGAAATTTCTATTCAAAACGTTTAGTTCATTTCAGATTAAACATTTTCTTAATTAACAATCATATGGTTTTAGAATTTAGCTTAGTGGTTGTATTCCGTTTCATTTTGATCCAACCCTGGATATTTTTAGTAAAAATTGACCCAGATCCAAGTCATGAATATTTCTTGTTCCAAAAACAGATTTCCAATTGTTTATTTTAGATTTATTTTTCGTCGTCAATAAGGTTTTGTTGCTATTTTAAATATTTTTCTTTTATGATTGGTTGATACTTTAAGAATTCAGATCAATAGAGCTAAAATGTGGCAAATCCAATGGATCTGGGATGTTAGATAATTTACCAAAGGCTTTTTCCCAAGCGTCAACTTCCCAAGGGTAATTTTCCAAGTGACAACTTAACAACTGTTCAATTAACAAAGCGGCATCTTCCCAAATCTGTCCTAGCCGCAGCACCTGGCACACTAGACTGTTCTAGCCGCAGCACCTGGCACACTTGACTGTTCTAGCCGCAGCACCTGGCACACTAGCCTGTTCTAGCCGCTGCAGTAATCCCCCCATTTCAGCCTGCGGCGCCTAAGAAGACCTAACCAAACCTTTGGGAAGTTGCCCTTGAGAAAATACCCTATATCGGATCTGGATCTGTAATCCGTTTAGGTCATTTTAACAGTGACACAATACCTTTGTCTGTGTCATTTGTCCACTGGAGAAGTCGAAGACCTCCTCTGAGAGGAGTTTAAGGATGTTCATGTTGTTCTGACACAGGGATTCATTAGTCTTACTAGCTCCTATAAAATCAATAAATCAAATAATGTAAATGTAAATTCGCTGATCAATTCATCAATTTCCTCATCAAATATTCAAAATTTCATTAGTTAATCATTAATTAAATAAATCAGGACTGTTGGGGGAAGTCCTACACCCAAACAGCAAATTTGAGATGACAACTTAAATCAAGAATGAAATGTTGTCTTACGATTGTGCTCTGAAGTAAGAAAAATCAGTTTTCTTTTATGGATTTTAATAAGATTCTTCCGACCCCCCGGCCGAATCGCTCCACTATAGCCCAGTGGCTTTATTAGCACACCCTTGCTAATTACTATCAAATAGACCGGGTCTCCGGTATAGGTACATTCTTTATTATATCTACCACAGAAATCAATTTATTCAACAACACAGGCGGCCCCGTATACATCTTCTTGTGAAAAAAAGTGTGCATCAGTTTTATGACAAAATATACCTAACTAAAAACAGATTTAAAATGCCATTACTCGATCGAATAAAGTTCAAATCGTTACAAGAATAATTTTGAAAAAAGTTGTCGTACTTTACGTGGATTGCATCAGCCAGATTATATCAAATTATGCAAGTTGTTGCAAAATCATTTTTAAAATCCTGTTGTGCATTTCTGACTGATAATTTGAATTCATATTGATGCACTCTAAGTGTCATGTCGGCTGAAAGGATTCAAGAATAATATCAAACAAAAATCAAGAAAATAATCTTTCTTCAAAAAAAGGAGGGTTTTACTTAGAATGTGAAATAATGTGTTTGGGGGTTTGAGTATCAGTAAGAAGAAATTTAAGCTATTAACCACCACTCCTTAAATCTAGCATATTAGATTCGTAAAAAAATCCAATTAAAAGTCATGCTTTAAACGAGTGTTAACTTAAAGAACTTACAGCGTAATTTTATGTGACCATCCATGCAAAGATGGCATAGCCGATTAACGATGGTTCCCTTAAAACCTTTATCTGATCAAAAATAAGGATGTAACTCTCGGAATAGTGTTCAGTTCTGCTAATTTATCCATTGCTTCCTATAAGCAAGAAATGTGTAAGTTCCTTTTACACTTGAACCTCAGGGGAGAATTAACAAAATAATGAATATCTAGTTCATACTTGATCAGCAAAATTTAATGGTACCGTTATAAATCGGGCATTACCATTTTAGCATGGAGAGTCGATTGAAATTATGCTTCCAGTCCAATTAACATACTGGGAGGACAATAAACTAAAGAAAATAAATACCCCTTGAAAACAATATTTATATTTCACTAACCTATAATATCTGGGATAAAGGATTCCCAGTTATGTGGCCACTCTCGTTTCAAGATAAGGACAAGTATAATGTTTAGTTTCTGTAAATATGTTCTCTCCTGGACACAAATCCAGTTTAAATTTAAGATTAAGTAGCTAAAAAAATGAAATTTATTTTGTCGACTTTTTAGCGTTGAATAACAAGTTGTGATCAAAAAAGATCTCAACGAAATTAACAGGAATGAGTTAAATTCTATTTCTTCCCTTGTGATTGAAAATTTGTTTAATACCTATGAAAAGTATTGTCACCAAGCTGTTGTTTTTACATATTTGTAAATTCGAAAGAAAAAGGTTTTCTGATGAGATCAAAAAGATCTGAAAATTTGTAAACAGTCTTCGCTCGTTTTCACAAACATAAGAACAAAAGGATATATTTTTATAAATATAAAATGTTTTGAAAAAAATAACAATTAGGATATATTACTAACTAGCTTGGGAACCCAGCGCTGCCCAGGTTACTCAAAGTTACTCCCGCCGTTTACCCGCACTTGAACGATTTACTGGGAAAGTAAGTTTTTGCTATTAAAGTCGACCCACTCAGTTTAGAATCTCAAAGCTAGAATCCCAAGCTAAGAACATTCCCGTGGGTCTGCCGAATTCCTTTCTCATTTAGGGAAAATCGGTCCAGGGGTTCCTTAGTTATGATCAAATAAACAAACAGACAGACAAAAGGCGATTACAACTTCATATTATCAAATGAATCTCACTTCATTGTTCTAAAATTAATACCGCACTTTCATCAGCTTGGTCATGAATCAATTATGAGAACTGCATAATAATTAAGAATAATCAAGATACAGTACAGTACAGTACAGTACAGTAATTAAAGTTAACAATTTGTAGAAAAAAGTTTTAAAATGTTATTCTCGAATCTATTTATTTTGTGTTTCATTTTATTTTATTTTCATTAATTTTTTAACATTAATATTTCAGTTATTGCTAATATCAAAGAATTGTCAACTTAATATCTGATCTCAGCATTTCAGAAATTGTGCCCCTTGAATATCTATATATCAATATATATCAATATGGTCAATAAGTAACCCATTGATCAACTTGCTTTAGTCTTTGAATGAAGAACAACGAGAATGTTATTTCCTTGTCTATGTTTCGTTTCAAACAAATTCCAAGGAAGTAAAATAAAAATTTAAGAATAAGAGGAAACTATTTTTTATTTCTTAAACTTATATCCGTTCAAAATTTTGGCTGATTGTTTTACTGTGATTCAATCAGGGTTGGCATGAAAAAAAAACCAGCCAAAAAATCCCAACCAAAAAAATCTAAATAAAACCAACTTGTATACTCCACCTTTAAGTTGGCTTTTGTGGTTTTATAGTTTTTTTTTTTTGAATTTTCTAATTTTTTCCCTTTTTTCACTTTTACATCGATGAACTCTACAAAAAAAACCAATAAAACCCACTGTTGCCCGTTGAAAAAATAAGATTTAAAAAAAACTCAACTGCCAATTACCTTCCATCTTGTTTTGATGACTGACTCCAGAATTTGAAGGGCATAGTATTTGGTCTGCTGATTGCTGGAGAACTCCAGGATTGTGTCAACCTGTCAAATAAACTATATTTAAAGGGACTGTGAGTGTAATAAAAAATGACAAAACCTGATTCACGCCCTTAAATCTTAATCTGTGCGCCGAGACACAGCAAATGAAAAAAAAACAGATAAAAGAAACAGCATTGATTTCTAATTCATACTGAACAAACAAAGCTTTTAAGGTACCGTTGTTAGTCTTTCATTTCCATCTTAGCATGACATTTTAAATTGCGCTTTCAGTCCCTTTTAGGGATTGATTATCTTACTTCACACAAGGGCTACAGAATCGTTATTTACAGTTGTTTAAAATTTACCTATGTATAAATATATATTATATATACTATATACACCTCTGCAAAACAAATAATTACGAGATTTTAAAATTCATTTACCTACTTTTTATCTTTTTTTTTGCGTTCCAGATGTAAATCCAATAATTGGAGATGATAGTGCAAAAATTTGTAGTTAAGCCTACTTTACATACGCTTTACACTGACAATGTAATAATAACCAAGCTCAATACAACACCCAACCATTAATTACAATTGATGACAAAGAAACGGAAATCAACGAAGTCAAGTGCAGCCGAGGCGTGTNAAGGGCTCAGCTCCCCCTGAAACAGTGAAATCCATGGTTTCCCAGGGGAACTCAGGTGCCTCCCAGGGAAAAAAATAAGCCCCCCCTGGACAAATTCCTGAATACGCCCCTGACTTGTAGATCTCATTGATAACTAACCTTTGTCCAACTATCAGGGTGTTCTTTAAGTGTCGTCAAAACCTCTTGAGCAGTCTTCTGCTCTTCTCCTGTACTTGAATACATAGCAGTAACAACATTATCCTAAAATACATAGCAGTAACAATATGATCCTAAAATACTTGGCAGTAATAACAACATTATCCTAGAATACATAGCAGAAACAACATTATTCTGGAATACATAAAAGTAACAAAATTATCCTAGAATGTATTAACATTATCCTACTTGAAAATAATTTGTCACCGTGTATCAAAAATGTAAATAAAAACTTCTCACCAATAAACCTATATCCAATTTCTGAGAAAAGTCCAAAAGCTTGTTAACAGTGTCATTGGCCATCCCGGAGGTGGGTGCTAGCCCTGGCGTTACTACACTCATATTTTCTGAAAAATTAATCATCACAAGTTAAATATTTCTGGAACAATTTTAGATTTTGGCCAGACAATTGACATTGCTTTTAAAGTGATTATTTCTTAATAACGTTCCTAACCGTAGCGCCAGGCCCACCTAGCCTGTTCTGTCATAGCACTCGGACCTCTACCATGTTCTAGGAAGAAAAATTGTCTTAACCTAACACTAAAATGTTAAAAATGGTTGAAATTAAGGACAGTTACAAAATTGGGTAATTTCCTAGTATAAGATTTTTGGCCCCTCCCCCCTTCTATCGATTTTGTACGTGGATCTCATTTGCAACACATGGATAAAATTGGTCATATGGCCGCAGCGCTCGTCCCCTAGTCTATCCTAGTCGCGGCGCTCGGCACCCTATCCTGTCCTAGCCGCCGCAGCGCTCGGCCCAGAAATTGTCTTGACCCTAAAATAATACAAAATAACTTAAAATAGGTGGTCATGTACAAAATTTGTTAGAAGTTGAGGGGGGGGGGGGGTCAAAAAACGTATACTAGCACGGACCCAAAATTTATATGAGGGAGATGGCCAACAAGGGGGTCTTTAGGACGGAGCCAAATATCCAAGATTACAACTTATAATAAAATAATTATCATTTAGTTTGAGTTATTTTACAGTCGGGTTGGGTTGAGACAATTTTGAGGTCGAGCGGTGCGTGGTTGGGAACAGAGCGCTAAAGCTAGGATAGGCTATGAGGCCGAGCGCCGCGGCGTGAACAATCAACGGTGCCGGACTAAAATACCTAACATTGATAAGGGGGGGGGCTGACCAAAAATAATAATTCAAAAATCTCCAAAAATCTTGCTTTATATTCTGCGCAATTCTCAATTGCGTCATCATGGTATGAATTTCGTCAATTACATGATGAATAACATAGATATATTTAGTTGATTATGACAAATGAAGCAGTTTTTCTGTGTGCTTTATACATCGATTACTGTTCGCGATCCGAGCTGAGGAAGCTGAATCGACCCACATGTAATAACATTGTAACACATTTTTCTTAACACGACTTATTTGTTCGTTCATCACTAGCACCCTAGGTAGAGAGATAAGTGCACAAAATTGCAAATACGTTTAACCGCGCATTTTCTGCCCGAGCTGTATGGGGGTCTGTGTAAACCGGCTAAATCTGGTTTCAACCGGACACCGTCTGCAAGGCACCGAGGTTTCGTGATTTTTAGAGTTTTTAGTAGGGCCATTCGTATAAATTTAATCTTTTATATTAAAAAAATACTTATTTTTCATGTTTAAATTAAACTTAGGCAATTATGTCAGTCTTAATAACAAAATTATTTTAATAATTCAATTATCTTTTTATTCATATCAGTGGTCCTTTGTACAGTATTTTTAAGAAAACCTTTGTTGCCTTTTTCGACCAACTTAAATAATTTGACTCATTTTAAATAAAGTTAAAGAACCCAAAATCGAGTAATATATTTTTAGAAAGGGAATTTGAATATTGAGTCCAACATATTTTTAATTGAATAAATGTGAAAGTAAATATCAACAAAGTCACGCAACCTCAAAAATCAAAAGTCGTCTTTTTTCTGCTTAACTTGCGGATTTGAAGGAGGAAACTGATTAACACATAACAAATTATGATGTTAAAGTTTTCATTAAAAAAGCGGAAACAGTTAAAAAAAAGAGGAAACGGGTTTAAAAATGAAAGAGAAACCCCCCCCCCCGACAACAAATTATAACATTGAAAGATTCTAAAATCAGCGAAAATTGAAATTATGTAATATGAGGTATACTTTGCTTAGAAGAAGAAATTTTAAGGCCCTAAAGTAGTCACATTCCAATTTTGAGAGTAAAGTCCTTTATTTGTCTCAATAGTCCCTAATTATACTACTTTAAGTCCTGGTTTTCTCTATACGTTGTCAAAAATTAGCATCTGCTTAATTTTATGGATCGTGCCGACAACTCATATTTCCTATTTGTCGAGATCAAGCTATTTCTACCTGCAGACCATTCTAGGTGGGGGAAAATGGTGGGGTGGACCACAAATGACGTCAATTTTGAAAAAAAACTGTTTGAAGTCATAAAAAAATACAGTTTAACGCACAGAAGCAACGCCGGGACGAAAAAAAAGGTGTGCACGTTGATGACGTTATTTGTGGTTCGGACGAAAACGGGTGAAATGTGCCTTCCCTCTCTCTTCTAGGTCTGTAACTCAGTCCTTTTTGAATTTGTAGCACTTTCTTTTTCTCTGTAATCGATATAAGTCCTTCCTATATGGCCAATTTCTTATTCATGTTACCATAGGTACAACTATAGGTTGTATCTATCTATCTACACTGCTCTGGTAAAGCATTACCATAGTGTAACTATGGTTTTACCTATGGTAGAACATCTAAGAAATTGGCCAATAGTCTTCGATTTAGCCCAATGATAATAAAGACGCGGAAAGAAATTGTATGAAAATGGGACGGATTACTATACGTCCTAAATATAGACTCCTGTTCCAATATAATCTCGTTTAGCCCAATGACAATAAAGACGCGGAAAGAAATTGTATGAAAATGGGACAAATTACTATACGTCCTAAATAGACTCCTGTTCCAATATAATCTCGTTTAGTCCTCCAATAAATAAACTTAAACCAGGATTCCCAGGATATAGTGCAATGAAAAAAGATATGCACGATATATGCAAAAAACTCTTCTCTTATCATGAATCTTCAGTTTTGATAAAATATCATTTAAGGATGTTTAGATAAATCTGTTGTATAATTTAACTATATATATTTTGAATATTTTTACAACAAATAAATCAGATCTAAAAAGCAATTTTATTAAATAAATTAACATATTTCTTGTGTAAAAGATGTCAGCTAGTTAACTAATTGAACACCATGTTCTCCATACTGTATAAGGAAAAAATCAATCAATTCGAATAAAAATCAGAAAGTTTTAGAATTCATTTTAAAAATTCATCTCTAAATTATCGATTAGAATGTTTTCTTAAATGCTTTTCTTTTATTTGTCTAAAAATAAAAATGAATCCCCAAGTTGAGGACAACAGGAAAAAGGAAAAATCAACAGAAATGTTAAAGGTCTTTAATCCCTTTCATAAACAGAAATTAAAATGAAGAACACATTATAATTTGTGTCAACCTTAAAATGATTTTTCATACATCTGAATGAAAAATGTGATTGATTGATTCATTTCCTGAAAATATCATGAAAGTGCTGAACAAGGAACTGAAGAAGATGCACAACGCCACCTTCCTGTAATCAAGAACACATCAGATAAAATTTAAGCAAAAAAATGGCCGTATTTTATGCCTAGTAAGACCCATTAACTAAATAATAGAAAGACGACAGTTGGACTCAATTTATGATCTAAAACTTAGGAATATAAACATAGAAAGACGTCTGTTAAACTCAAGTAATGATTTTGTTTGGCTCAACGTAAAACTGTGGGGGAATAAAAGGACTTTTGTTAACACTTAATTATAAGTAAAAGTCAAACATGATACTTTAAAAAAGGAAACTACTTGAAAAAAGGAACACTACTTGAAAAAAGGAACACTACTTGAAAAAAGGAACACTACTTGAAAAAAGGAACACGAAAATTTGACTGAAGTTATGATTTTTGTTAAATTTACATTTAACACAGAAATGGTGCAGTTTACGGGGACTCATTCCACTTAATAAGTTGATATATAAGCTATTGATTAACTGGCTTTATAACATAATCTAAACAGTTTATTTAAATGTCGTCTTCCCATTCCAGTTTATGGGTCATACTTCAGTTCCGCTACTGTTCTTTTAATTGTGTTTCGCCACTTTCATTAAAAATCTTCAGAAATCTGAAAAGTTTTACCAATCTAAAATTTAATCTTCTAAATGTATGTTTTTGGCAAAGTATATTTTCACAAAGAATTCAAATTGTTTTACAAGCGCTTGACTATAGTATTTTCATAACCAAATCAATGACATAAAAAAATATTTTTAGTTTAATAATCTAAGAATTAACTTCAAATTAAATGTGATTTTTAAAAAAGTGAAAGGAAATTGTTTTGACTGAATTCCTAATCTCAGTTATGATTGATTTTTCGAATTTGAATATCTCTATGAAATATTTTAATAAATTGTTTTACAATAAAATACAGTCAGTGACCAAAATACAAAAACATCTAAGGCCAGATTTATTGAAAAACGATAATAAGTTGAACTATAGGTAAATTGCTAGTTAAACTTTTTCTCTCTTGCACTCACGAAAACAATACAGAATTTATTCTATTTCTATCTGTTCATTGCTTAACTCTTTCTCAATATCATTAAGTCCAACCTCTGAGAATAAAATGTACCAGCGATTACGTCAAGCTAAAGTAAATTACAAGTAAGATTGAAATCTTATGTAATTGATTAACTCCTCTTAATTAAGAGCTATTGAGAACAACAAAACTGTTTCGAATTTCTTAAAACCAAAGTGATTTTTACACAACCCATTTCTAAGATCAAAATTCAGTTGGGAGAGGGGGAGAGTGAGTCTTTGAATTTTACTTAAAAGTTTTAGGATCTTTACCTGCAACATCTCAAATGGATCCCAATCATCTAAAATATTTTTATCTTTTAATTTTAATTTACAGATTAGATCAGTAGCATGAAAAATATCATACAGTGAAACCCATAAAACCGTGGAATAGAAAGCAGACGTTTCAGCACTGGTACACTGTTAGAAATGCCATTTTGTAAATTTTCAATATCTTTACATTTTATGCCAATAAAACCAGCATGGAAAAGCCCTTCATTGTATACCGTTTAAAATTTGATGTTTTTTGGTCGGAATGACTTTACTTGAATTATCCTAAATACTAATTGATGTAACTATAATTAGAATCACATCAGGTTGGTTTTCCTTAAAAATACATTAAGCAGAAGTATACTTGCATTAATAAAGACGATTTATTGATTCAAACAGAATTCTGATCGATATCAACAATTAACACGTGCGTAACATTTCCAATTTTCCAGTAAATCAAAACATGCGAAGACAGATTTTTTACCGCTTATTTTAGGAACAAAATCAAAGTTATAGACTAAATAATAGCTACAGTAAACAATATAATGTGAATGTATGTAATTTTTAAATATTAATGGTTTGAAGTTTCGAGAATTATTTATGCGTGGAGGAGGGGGGGGCAATTAAGCTTTTTATTATCTTCAAAAGGTAGTCCAAGATCTATGACATTAGGACTAAATAAATTTGTTCTAATTCTTCATTATTTGGTAATTTCCTGTAAAAGTTGATGTCGGATCAACAAGTTGAAGGTCAGTAGGGGGATCTTGAATGACTTAGGACTTAACAAAGCAGTGTTGATTGAGGTGGAGGTGAGGGGGTCCTTCCAGAGGATGGTGTTGGAAGGGATGGGGCAGGATGGAGATCTGACTGGTGTGGTACGTGATCGATTTCCCTGTGAATGACCTCCACTGAGAAGGAGAACCCTGAGCCGTTGTTGAGGTCCACTTCTAATAATGAAAGTTTTAGAATCCTCCTATGCAACTTCAACTTGATCTCAGTAGTGAGGATGATCTTACCCTCTCCTGCATCTTTAACCTTGGAGGAGGTCCCTCAGGAGTACATGGAGGGTATAACGGTTTGGAGGGCTGATTGGGATTTGACAGCCAGTGTCGTCCTGGATCCCTAGAGAGAAATCTCCCATGGGAACATAAAACGTTCTCCGCCAATGGAATTGATCTGTCTGAGCCTGTCTTGGAGACGGAGAAGGTGGGGGTCTAGCCGCTGTGCATGCAGGCGTAGCGGTAGACAGGGAACCCATCATGGTTGTATCCCAATGGGCACACCTTGGAGGTCCCATTGTGGAAGAATAATTTGATTTGTAGGCATGGGTCATGGGTTTGGGTGGAGCTAGGGCAGACTTGATTCTTGGAGATGAGTTTGAGTATGCCTGAAGAACTCAGTTTGGCAGCTCCGCAGCTTCAGTTGAGGGGGTAGTGATCAGACTGGAACCCTTTGACAGTGCACAGGGTACATGGCCTGTGTCAAAAAGAGTGGGGTTGGACCAATAGTTCTTCTCCATCTCGCTCAACGCAAACGATGCTCGAGGTCATACATTTGCTGCACTCCTATTACGAAACTTCATGTATTGTTTGGTGAAATCCAGTTTAACCAGTTTTTATGGATTCATAATGAGGAAGGAGGTCGAAAATCTGGTTGACCTCTCTGCCAAAGATGTCCCTACTCCTGAATTCTTCAATTAACTTGATCTTGAAGCTGTTCCAGTCAGTGATGTTGTTGAGGGGTACCTTCTTGTCCAATGGGATGGCATTGAGGGTGAGTACCAGCTTGACAGAGTCGTCGCATGTGTTCAGGGTGAATCCATGCAGGATGGAAATCATAGAACTGGCCACTCCAGTTGGCAGTGACAAGTTTAGGGGTCTTGAAACTGGCAGAAGGTGTTGAATTAGAATGGTTTTGAACAGATAATGCAACCCTGTAGAAGGCAGGGAGAGTTTCTTGTTGCATGCTTGCTGAGGCTCCTGGCGTGGGGACTCAGGGTTGTCTCCATGAATAACATCCTGTCGAGAGAGATTGATTACATTCATTTGTTTCGGGTCTATAGTTTGAAATGTAAAACAATAGGTATGCCTTTGTGACTAAGTTTACTTGTTGACTCATTGACTTATTGTTTAGTTGTTGACTAAGCTCCTTAACCCGGACACAAAAGTTGCAAATAATCGCGTAATTTGATGTATTTCAAACCTGCAATAAAATGCAGGTATAGTAAAGATAAATGTCAATATATAAATGTTAATGAAAATTTCAATTTATCTCTACATTAATCCCTCTGATCTCACCCTGCCACAGATCACCTGACAATCTCCTTCCTTCCAATCAACTCCTTACCTATCCAAAAACATAATATACTGTGTGTAACCAATTATATTCAGTATCGTTAACTAACTTAGGGCGAACCACTCAAAACAACCTCTCCTGGTTAGGCGGGTCTAAACTGCATGGTAAATTGTGATTCCTTATTTGTAATATCTCATGCTTAATTGTTGAATAAAAATATGAAAGAATAAATGAATGCCACTCTATAAATGGAGGCCAGCCCTTAAAGTAGGAAAGAAAAATACCTTGAAAAGATCTTGCTGAGATGATATTGGGATCTGTAGCTATGGTCATTAGCCCAGTACTAAGAAACACTCCCTAAATTTCAAAAGATGGCTTTCAACACTCCCTCTAATCTATATAAAAAAGCTGTTCGCTCACATATATGTTAGCTATAGCTGGCAAAACGGCTGGACCAAATTGGCTGAAAATATTTGAGGAAACCAATGGGTACACTAGGAATAACAAAAACTTTAAAAAATTCGAATTTTTTTCTTAAAAATTTTAATTTTCTTTCCAGTGTCTTCAAAATTCCACGGGCAACGCCAGGTACTCCATCTAGTGTTAGATATAAATAGTATTCATGATTCCCTTATCATAAATAAAAATTTGTACACACGTAGAATGTACACAAATGTACCGTGTACAAAAGGGTTCAATTCAAATTGTAAAATGTATACTTTTAAATAAAACATATGTCAAAATGTCAAAATATCAAACTGTGCAACTGTACTTTAGTGTTCTAATATAGTTTATACGTACATAAATATATTTTGTTCAAATGTGCGCATGTTAAATATTTCACATGTACAAATATATAATAGTTCTAATGAACAAATGTAAGTATATAAAATTATTCATATATGTTCCAATATATGATTTTTAATTGTTTAAATGTACAAAATTAAATGTTCAATTGTTGTAATAGACAAATATGCAACTGTGGAAGACGATACCTGGCCGCCTAAAACAAACTCCACAAGATTTACCGGAATGAGATAGAACGGAAACGGGGCATGGTACTTTGAGTCTAATGGTGTGATCTTGATATTAACATATTTTCTGAACACTCTATTAAAAGTTATAGGAAATATATATACTGGAAGTTACTTTATGCGTTTCATTAGAGATCGACCTCACGTCCTCTATACAACTTTACAAATGTACAAATTTGTATAAAAATTACCTTCATAAAAGGGATAACAATAAAGAAGAAAAATCCAAGTGCAACAGTCCTGAAAAGATAAGAAAATAAAGGCTTCAATTCAGAATTATTTTCGTGTTAAATTTTCCAATCCTCGGACATCCTTGAAACCATCTCTGGATTGAAAATATTACTAGATATCTGAGATTTGAAAGTGATTATATAGGAGATCTTTTGGATTTCTAAACACTCTTAACTCTAACCTATATTGCATATCTGTTTGCGGCTGAAACTAGAAATTTTCATTTTTTAAAAACATTTTAGTGTTTTTAATGGAGTTGTCATTGTAATTTCAAAACTAACTGTCCATTAAGAGAGGGGCTGCTTGATTCACAATGGAAACGTTAAATATCCAAACCGGATATTTAATTCATTTTTTTCAAAGACCAAGCTTTTATGGGTATCATTGTAAATCGAAAACCATATCTGAAACCATACTTTTCTGAATTGTGAATTGACTTGTACAATAAATATTTATTTTAGTTGAAAATAGCTTTGAAATTGTTTATGAAAGCATAAGTTAATTTAATAACCTGATCATGTAAGACTGGACTCCTACCTGATCATGAAAGACTATGAGTCCTACCTGACCATGTAAGACTGGACTCCTAACTGATCATGTAAGACTGGACTCCTACCTGATCATGAAAGACTATGAGTCCTACCTGACCATGTAAGACTGGACTCCTAACTGATCATGTAAGACTGGACTCCTACCTGATAATGTAAGACTGGACTCCTAACCTGATCATGTAAGACTGTACTCCTATGAGAAGATTGTGGATCAAGCTACCCAAAACACTGGCAAAGAACCCGCTCGCAATCTTTCTAAATATTAAATAGAGTACACTGGAGCAGGCAAAGAACACAAGAGCAGGCAAAGAACACAAGAGCAGGCAAAGTACACAATTAGCAGACAAATTACAATATAGAGCAGGCAAAGTACACAAGAGCAGGCAAAGTACAAAAGAGCAGGCAAAGTGCACAAGACAGGCAAAGTACACAAGACAGGCAAAGTACACAAGACAGGCAAAGTACACTGGAGCAGGCAAGTACACAAAAGCAGGCAAAGTACACAAGAGCAGGCAAAGTAAACAGTAGCAGGAAAGAGTACACGGGAGTAGGCAAGAGTATACACCAGAGAAGAAGAAAGAGCTTGAGTATGCAATAAAGTGTACTTGAGTCGGCCAAAGTGTACTCTAGGCACATTAAAAGGAATTCTAATAGCAGTACTTAATGCTGTAGTCCATTTTGTAGCAAATGGGAACTCAAGTCCCAAATACTATAGACTAACAAATAGAGATTATGAACTAATCGAGATTATAAACAAATCGAGATTATAAACAAATCGAGATTATAAACAAATTGAGATTATAAACAATTAAAGATTACTAACAAATCGAGATTAATAACAAATGACAACTTAGTTCATTCACGAACGCAAATAAAAAAGTTAGTTCAGTTCTCAGTTTAAAGAGAGAGACCGGCTTGGTAACGTAGTTGAACAGAGACTACAGTAATGTAGAAAAAATAAAGATTCATTTAATAACAATGAGACGTTTTAACGGTGGATAAATTCTGAGTTAGAGTGTGTATTAGTTTGTAAGATTTAACCCGAGGATATGGTCAGCAGAAGATAAGATCTTAAACAATTATTTAATAACCCGGAAGAAAAACGTAACAAAAATTTTTCTTCAAACTAATTTGTTAGATTAAAATTAAATTAACTCCCATCATCGAAAATAAGTAATTTTATTCTGTCATTTGTTTCTGTAACGAATTATAAGAAAGACATAATTGATTGTTATACCATTGATATCAACTGAGAAAAATATGTTTGTTTTTTTTTAAATTGGTTAATTGACAAACTTTTGTTACGTTTTTCTTCCGGGTTATTAAATAATTGTTAAAGATAATTTCTTCTGCGGACATCCCCTCTGGTGAACTTTTACAAAAATTTACGCTCTTACCTAGAATTTATACACCATAAAAAGTCTAAAACTGGTAACATAAGAATCCTAAAAATTTTCTATTTAATACTATAACAGTCTTTAGTTCAACTACGTTACCTTGCAGGTCTTTCCTTTAAAGCAAACGTCAACTTGATGAGTATGACCCAATCCCTTAATTTATCTAACTGTTAACATCCCCAGCCCTATTTATGAGAACGTGCCCAGCCCTATTTGTGATAACATCCCCAGCCCTATTTGTGATAACGTGCACATCACTATTTAACGTGCCCAGTCATATTTGTGATAATCTGCCCATTCCTATTTGTGACTGATAACATCCCCAGCCCAATTTGTGATAACATCCCCAGCCCAATTTGTGATAACGTGCCCATCCCTATTTGTGATAACGAGCCCAGCCCCATTTGTGATAACGTGCCCAGCCCTATGTTTATAGTCTGGAGAAGAACATTCTCACTTACAGTAGCAACACTTGGGGATAGAAGATATGCGGCAGTTGGGAGAAACCAAGCAATCACACCATTCGCCACAATTGATGTCTCTAAACAAAAAGGTATGTACAATGTACAAATAAATATTTGTTTATATATGCATATACTAGCTGAAATGGCTGACGTTGCCTCTGAAAAAAATGGAACGCTTTGAAAAATAACTAATTTAGAAAAAATCAAAATATCACCCCTCGGTTACCCATGGGCTTTGTTTGAAAGATTTACGCTAAATTGGTCCAGCGGTTCAGCCCAGCTATAGTTATCATATAAATGAGCGAAAAGCTCTTTATTATATACTAGCTGAAGTGCCCGTGGTTGCCCTTGAAATTTTAGAAATAATTGAAAAAATAATTTCGAAATTTAAAATAAAATTTGCTACCCCAGAGAAATCAAGGGTTTCATAAAAAAAAATCAGCAAATTTGTCCAGCTGTTAGTTCAGCTATATCTAACATTTATAATATATATTATATAAACTAGGCTTTCAGGACGATTTGTGCCCATCCTCTATTTTAATTGTGAACATATGCGCTCATTGTAAAAATTGTAAAACAAACCAAAAAATAAGTTCGCGGGTTTTATAAGATTTTTTGTTGATTTTTAAAATTTTATGAAAATTAAATTTTTGCAGGCAAATGTTTTAAATTTTGATCATTCAGAAACCTTCCCTGGGGTTATGTGAGGTCCCACACAAAATTTGGGCCCGATTGGTTCAGCCGTTTAGAGTTTTTTTTTATACAAACAAACTAGCACCCAGACTAGCAAAGTATATACATAAATATATATATAAATATAACATGATGAGCTTTATTAATCTCTGTGTATCTGTCTGTCTGTTTGTGTGTCAAATCATAACTCATGTACCCCTTGACTGATTTGCCTAAAATTTTGATTGGGGAACTTGGTAGAACCACGAAAATGTTCTTAGCATCAAAGTTCTTGCTAAAATCACATATATATAAAACTTACTCTTAAATCACAGATTTTATATAAAGTCGCTAAAATCACATATCCACAAAACTTACTCTTAAATCACAGATTTTATATAAAGTCGCTAAAATCACATATCGTAAAACTTCCTCTAAAATCACCTAGATTTTGAATAAAGTCGTTAAACAGATTTTAAAACTGCTAACAAAATCAGAGTTAAAAATGATGATAACATTTGCAATAAAGTCTGTAAAATCACAGATCTTGAAATAAAATCTGTAAAATTAAAGATTATTAAACAGCATCGAAATGTATTCACATATAAACGCCCCTGCATGGAAGCTGACTGAAAGTAAAAATGCAGAAAATGTATTTTAAGAAATTAAATTTGTTTACCTTCATTGAAACACTCGCAGGGCATTTTTGGGTTTCGATTGAAAAAAGGTTTCAATTACAATCTGATATAAGAAAAAATATTTATCCCAATTAAGACCAGCTAGAGTTACGTTACGCATAATTACGCGCAACACTTTCTTTCACTTATGGGGGAGCATTACGCGAAATTACATGTTAATTAGGTATATGAAAGAAAGTCTAGTATCGCGTAATGAAGGCGTAATTACGCGAAATTACGTAATACGAAACTATTACGTAATTTGTAAAGTACATATTAATTCTCAGAAATGAATATAGCGGTAAAATATGTGTAAGGATATGCGTGCTACAACCATGTCCCATGTCCATTGTCCAATCTGATTGGATAATTTAAATACTTTCAAATGCAAGTTTTGCTAATTAGGCCTAATTATTGCAACATTTCGCGAAATTACTTCTTTTTTTTTAAATACCGCGAAATTACGGCGAAATTTTGCAAAATTCAAGTTTCGATAATTACGCACAATTATTACTATATTTTGAAAAATTACCTTGTAGAAATTACGTGAAATTACAGCGTAATTTTTCGAAATAAAAGTTACGCTAACTACGCGTAATTATTACAAAATTTTAAGAAATTACCTTGTAGAAATTACGCCGTAATTTCGCGAAATTGAAGTTGATTGCCAATCATGTGTAATCCTGGGAAATTAAACTAAATGAAAATTATTTTGCGTAACTGCACGTAATTTCGCGTAAGTGAATTAATCTATTGCGTTGGAAACCCAAAGACCAATCTAGCCTTTTATTATTATTTAAAAAATAATGCTCATTATTTCAGAATATTACACTTTCAAACTTCGCGTTTTTGTGAGAAATATTTGTTTTTGTTTCTTTGTCCGTCTGTTTGGATATCCAATCATAATTCATGAACCCCTTGACCGAATGGCATCAAATTTTGATTGGGTAACTCGTTTATAGAACCAGGGGAATGTTCCTTAAGAGGTTTAAACATTTCAGGTTGAGTGGATTGGCTTATATAGGAGAAACTTTAGGCGAAACTGAGTCTAATTAACTGCCTAAAAGCGGTTGATATTGGCAAAAAAGGGAAATTATTTAATTTGTATGTTGGGTATCTAATAGTAGTTTGAAATCCCCCACCCCATCCCCCCAAAAATAAGCATTTTATGTGCACACATTCATTAGAAGTTCACGTCAATATTAATCTTAAATACCTTAACACGGTTTTTTTAAACTCGTTTGCATTGTACTTAATGCAAAACATCACAGATTTTTTTAACGTGCCTTTAAAATTAGAAAAATTTCCAATAGCCAAATCTGACTTTTAACAACTATGTTAATAAATAATTCAATTGTTCAGATGAGAAAACACAAATCACAATACACAAGTACTGTAGAGTGAAGATTTTTGTGCTGTACATATGTGTTGAGTTGAAAGAGTACATAAGAAGTCTAGAATCAAGGAGTAGAGATGGGCATCGTTGTTTTGAACGAACAAAATCAAAAGTTTTCCTGGAAAAGGGTGTTGTTAAGAAAAAAAACGAACAAACTGTTATTGGGTTGAAAGTGTGAGGTAGACTGGAGTAGGGTAACTAGAGATAGATAGGCATCGTTTTTGTGAATGAACGAATTTAAAATAACTAAGTTTTTCGTGAATGATGGTGCAGTCCTATAAAAAATAATGGAAGAACGATTTGGATCGTTAAAAAAATGAAAAAAACGATAGTTTTTTAAAAACAAAAAATCAAACAATTTAAATTCGTTCAAAACTATTGTTTTACGGAACGAACGAATTTTTCAAAAAAAATTGAAAAAACAATAGTAATTTTTTTACTGAACGAAAATTTTTTTCAAACAAATTTTGAAAAACTGATCGCTAACATTGTTCCCCCCCTCACCCCTCACTATTCGTGATATTCTACCCTTAATATTAAGACGTTGAAAATAGTAGACATAGAATAATAATTTATTTTTTGTGAAAATGTCCCTAACGATCAACTGAAAAAAGAGAAAAGAACATATTGTGTCTCAAATCTAGATGGTGGAACAACAACCGACCTAAAAAGGAAACAGATCTACGACTTTTCCAACCCAAGAGGGTTGCGACCGGATCCTAAAACAAGTTATGCCCGGATTGACGTATTAGTCAGAAAATACCCAATATTTAATAAAAAAAACTCGATAATTTGGTTGGAAAACCTTTAGTCTCGTGTAAATCTACAGTGATCACCAGAAAACAATGGAATATGAAGACGACATTAAGCAATACTAGCATTTTAGACCTTGTTAAAAAGCAAATAGTTTTACTAATCACTTATTGAATCACTAATTTAGTCTGTTTACACTGCACAATTGCTGTGTCTCATGAGGGGAGGAAGGCCAACCACATCAATCTCTAGTCCGAACCACATTCTCCTCATTTTCTCGTCCGAACCACCTCGGAAATCTCGTCCTTCGATTATTTTGTGTTAAAAAGTTTCTAATTCTTGAAGATAAAACTATTTTTTAGAAATCTGGCCACGTTAGGGCATAAAATATGGATGGACTAAATTATTGCAATGATTATATCATGTTGGAATCTTCAAACCCATGAGAATGATGTCAAACTTTATTTAGGTAAAAATTAAATCTCTTCTGCCTCCGTAATGGCTAACCTTCGATATGAAAAAAATAGCAAAATATTCGGCATACTTCTGCCTATAATTTTCCCCATGGAATCACCCGGAAAAATTCTATGGTTTTCACTAAAGTTAACAAAAAAGATTGAAGTTCTATAAACTTGGAATTACTTGCGGCATTCTACACCAAGAATATCTGAAAATGCGCGTAAAAAAGGTGAACATTTTTAAGACATTTTGCTTGAAATCTTTAATTTAATTGAAACTTTTTTTTTCGATTTACAAAAATTTGATATTTCATTTATGCCCTAACGTGGCCCGATTCTTTAAAAATAGTTTTATCTGGAAGGATCAGACACTTAAAAAAAATATTATTGAAAGGACGAGGATTTCGAGGTGGTTCGGACGAGAAAATAAGGAGAATGTGGTTCGGACTAGAGATTGATGTGGTTGGCCTTCCTCCCCTCGTCTAATGCTTATTGGAATACTAAAAGTTAAAACTTGATTCTAATAGTCCTCTACCTATTTCAGAGTTTTCTGGTTATCACTTTAGAAAGGGTTACAATGTACCATCTGAACATATTTTAAATGGAATCGTAATTCTGTAATTTTTGTAAAAGATCAGCAGTTGGAACCATATGGTGAACAGTAATCTATAAAATTCGCAAAATATTGCAAAAACGTTTGCTCGGATAAAATTACTGGATGGGTGGACCCTGAGGGCTTGAACTAGCATTCTTGTCTGCTATACTGATCCCTCAATTAACTATGGGTTAAATTATCCTTTCTTTACCCCTAATACAGGGTGTCCTGATAAACTAATAAACAACTGTACCCTTGAAACCTTTATATGCTCAATTTTGTGGAAGATAATGTGGTTTTTTTCAATTTTTAAAAGTGTTAAAATCTGATAATTCCTATATGTTTTCCTGCAGTATAGCGATGCGCAAGTCACTTTTGTTGAAAAAATACATTTGAAAATAGTCAGTAGAAACTCTAAATTTTAAACATTTGACATCTAATTAATACTTTGCCAGACAAAACTTTTAAGGTTACCGGTTGCTTATCTTCACATGGAGGGTCACTTAAAATTACGCTTACAGTCCCTTTAATGGTCGAATTTCACTCTGTTATCAAGAGATATAGCTCTCAGAATCTAGTTGACGTGTAATAGACCTCTTTACTCTATAGGCGAGATATAGCTCTCAGAATCTAGTTGACGTGTAACAGACCTCTTTACTCTATAGGCGAGATATAGC